TCTCCTGCAGTGTCTTATCACGTTCTATTTTAGGTGATGGCTTGAGTTAGGTGTGCATGTGTTGTTGTTTTTTTTAAATTGGGGAATATTGTGTTTTTCCAGGACCCATCAGCTCCAAGTCAAGTAGTTGTTTCAATCTAGTTGTGGAGGGTGCATCTCAGCGGCCCATGTGGGGATCGAACCGGCAACCTTGGTGTCATGAGCACTGAACTCTTCCCAACTGAGCTAACTGTCCACCCCACGTGTGTCCGTGTTTTAACTGAGATTCTGAATTCCCTGAAGGCAAAGCCTGCATCTGATTCATCATTTTTGCCCCTTTAACACCTAATACATGACTTGCAAAAATCAATGCCTAATAGAAGTTGTGAAATGCACTTCTTTGCTCCAAAGTGGCTCGGGCAGTGGTGTCCAAGTTTTGACAACCCTTACTCTTGAGCGGGAGATGAACTTTGGATGACGCCGACAAATGGCATTTGTTTTGATAATAAGTCATTTAAGGGACTAATGTCCCAAAGCCAGACTGAATATAGCGTAGAGCTCATAGACTCCAGATATGTGTTTAGTTTTCACAGTGACAGTGAATGTCCATCTATGAGTTAGATATGAAGTTTAACACTTTTAAATAACCATGTTTAAGTATTCCAAAGCCACTTAAGAATATTATTTTTTAAATTGCCAACGTTAGTGGATGAGGCAGGCAGACATGATAAATAAAGATGGTGAAGCTGGTGGAGGAAGTGAGGGAAGCCTCCCTTCTCCTCTTTTGTAACCATGCATTCTCATCCCCCTCTCAACAGTAATAGCTGTAAAATCAGGAGCTTCAAGTGCTGGTTGTATTTTTTTCACCAGACCCATGAAAATCGCCACAAAACTATAAAGGTAGAGACAGTTGCGTCCATCGCCCAGCTAACGTGTGAGCCCTCACCCCTTGTCGGGGAACACTGCTGCTGGGAAGCGTATGTGGTCTCCCCACGTGTCGGGGATCCTTCGCTTGGGCACCATGGATTTTTCGCAGCAGCATCCCCTGCAGTAGAGCGCCTGGCACGGCATGGCCATCGTTAAGCGTTGGTTCCGAAAATGAGATGACAGCAAGATGCCAGCCCTAATGCTTCGTAGCTGGAGCGGCGGTGTGCCAGAGCCAGACTCAGCCCAGCTCAGAGATGATGGGCCTCGGGGCTCCCCCACATCCCCTCGGTGGTAGAAACAGCACAGGACGTGGCGTTCACCCCGGTGGGGCTGTCCCCGCCATGTCGGGATTCTGACAAATGAGTGCAGGGGACACGTCAAGTTCCACCAAGCAGAAAGCAAGCCGCTGCCTTCTCTCCCTCACTTCTCTCTCTGTGGCCAATGCCATCTGCTAGTTTTAAAAATAATTTTTAAAAGCAAGTGTTTTGGTTCTTTGCAACATGCAGCAAAGACAGATGCTATTTTTAGGCTTGTTTTCTGTCAACCCCCCCCCCAAAGAACCAGGATCTGGGTGTCGGCAGTCTGGCTGACTGTCCCCACTCCTCTACTAACTTGTACGTGACCTTTCCGCAAATCTCACTTGTCATGGATGCTGGGAACAGAAGTGACAGTTCTGCCTCCCTGTCGGCCCCTCATTAGCGATGTTGAGAAGGTGCCACAGTATCGGTCTGAGGAAGTCCTTGACGTTTCAAAGAGTAGTTGATTATGCTGTCCTCCTCCCCGTGACCTGCCAGCTTCTGTCTTGACATGGAGCTGGCTTTCTACGTCCCTCCTCCCCCCTCCCCAGATTGGAAGCCCTCAGAGAGCAGGACACAGCCACGCATCTGTAGTGTAAGCTCAGAGCCTTACACGGGAGGCAGCCTAACAAGAGGTTGCCAGTGTAGACTCTGGAACCGATCAGCCTGTGTTCCAATCCTGAATCGGCACCTTCATTGCTGAGTGACCACCGGCAAGGTACTTGCCGTTTCTGAGCCTCAGTGTTTGCGTCTTTAAAAGGAGGAGAATGGTAGGGCCGGCCGAGTGGCTCAGTTGGTTAAGAGCTCACTCAAGAGTGCGAGCTCTGAGCAACAGGGTCGCCGGTTCAATTCCCGGCCCGAGCTGAGCTGCTGCTGAGCTGCCAACAGGTGGCAGGATGGCTCAGCTAAAAAAAAAACACCAATAAATAAAAATAAATAAAAGGGGGAAGATGGTGATACTGGTCATGTTGGGTTGTTTAGAAAGGTAGGTGAGGCGCAGGATATAAATTAGCACTCGGGGGGCCGGCCGAGTGGCGCGATGGTTAAGAACTCGCTTGGGATGCCAGAGGGCCCGGGTTCGGATCCCACATATGAGGGCCAGTGACACTGCCCTCTACAGCTAAGATGCTGAACAACAGCTCAACCTGGAGCTGGGCTGCCGTGAGTCGCTGGCGATGGCGTAGGCTGCAGTCCCTGTGGCAGTGGGTTGCCATGGGCTACCGTGTGTAGCCAGCAGCCAGTGTGAGCGGCCAGCAGCCGCAGTGAGCGGCCGTCCAGAAGCCGGCGACTGATCTGCCTCGCCTGGGAGGAGCGCAATGATGGTGCCAACTTGGGCCAGTGAAGCAGTGTCCTCCACAACTAGATTGAAGAACAAAACGACAGCAACTTGTCTGTTCCCCTTCCCCTAATTCCCCAGTACTGTTCCCATCCCCCCAATTACCCAATAATAAAAAAAAATCTTTAAAATAAAAAAATAAATAAATAAATAAATAAATAAATTAGCACTCGGTTCAGTCACAGGACGGTAGCTTGATTTCCAGTTGCTCTTATTCTAATTATTAGGCCCTCGATAGACATTCAGCAAATGCTCACGTGACTGTTACATAGACGATACAGCTCTGTGCACTATAAGCAGGGTTTGTTAGGTAGTGGAATAAACATTTGTTGCCTGGCTGCCATCTTGTTGGACGTTTTCCGTATGTAAATTGATCCTGTGATAGATAGAAAGGCATGCTTTGACCGAAACAGAAGCCTCTAAGACGTGAAGTCATTCGTTCTCGTAGCAAACACCCTTTGATGGAAGGCGAGAAGCAGGTCTCATGCAGGTGCTGCCCAGGGACTGTCACACATGTCTGTCCCCTCAAGTCCCAGCAACAGCACCGGGGCTCTGTCACTATCTCCATGTCGCAGGAGGGGGACAGATGCCTGATACATGCTGCGAATACACCCAGCTTCCAGGGACCAGAGCTGGGTTCCACAGAAAGTCTCTTTGGGTATCTACTATGTGCTGCTCATCACACAGCTGAGCAGGCACAGATCCTGACTTGGAGGGGTTCACATCTCCCTTGAGAGACGTGTGGAAAAAATCCCAAATGGGCTGTAGATTTCTTTTTCTGGCCCAAATTCTTTCACTTCTGGATATGCCCTCCTAAGTCATCCTTTTTCAAACTTTAATCATTCATTTTTTTTCCCATACTCACTGTGTTATCTGTTACTGAATACCTGAAGACTCAGGACCTCAAAACAACAATAAATATCTGTTGTCTCCGTTTCTGTGGGCCGGAAGCTCAAGAGTAGCTTCTCTGGCTGGTTCTGGCTTTGGGGTCTCTCAAGAAAGTTGTATGTCTTCTTGGGAGAAGTGTCTGTTCAGGTCCTGTGCCCACTTTTTTATTGGATTGGTTTTTTTTGTTTGTTTTTGTTGAGTTGTATGAGTTCTTTCTACATTTTGGATATTAGCCTCTTATCGGAGGCTCTGTTTGCAAAAATCTTGTCCCGTTCGGTTAGTGGCCTCTTAATGTTGTTGTTGTTGTTGTTGTTGTTGTTGTTGTTGTTGTTTGCTGTGCAGAAGCTTTTTCTTTTAATATAGTCCCATTTCTTTATTTTAGCATTTACTCCCCTTGCCTTTTGGGGTTAAATTCATAAAATCCACTCTGAGCCCAAGGTCCATAAGCTTAGTACTTATGTTTTCTTCTATGCAGCTTTTTGTTTCAGTTCTCGTATTTAGGTCTTTATCATGCTAAGTGACATAAGTCAGATGGAAAAGGACTGTAACCATATGATCTCACTCATATGTGGGATGTAAAACAGAAAGCGACAAACAAACAAAATAAACTCATAGACACAGACAACAGAAGGGTGGTTACCAGAGAGGAAGGGGATGGGGCAGGAGGAAGAGGGCAAAGGGGGTCAAAGACACGGTGACGGACAGAGATTCGACTTTGGGTGGTGAGCACACAAGCAATATATAGATGATGTATTGTAGAATTGTGCACTTGACACTGATATCATCTTATTACCCAGTGTCACCCCCATAAATTTAATTTTTTAAAAAATGGAAGTTGCAGTCCAGTAGCCAGCCTGGGTTGCATTCATCTGACGGCTTGACTGGGGCTGGAGGACCCGCTCCAAGGTGGCTCCACTCGGGTGGCCAGGAGTTGGCTGTTGGCAGGAGGTCTGGGTTCTCTGCCACATGTACCTTCCCACAGTGCTGCTTGAGTGTTCCCAGGACATAACCACTGGTGTCCCCCAGAGCAAGTGATCCAAGAGAGAGCAAAGTGGAAACTCATGTCTTTTATGATGACCCAGCCTTGGAAGGCACGCCCTGTCATTCTCACAATCACCTATTGGTGACACAACTCAGTGCTATTCCTTGTGGGGAGGATGTGAATAGAGGAGGTGAACATCATGGCAGGGTGGGGGGGGCAGGCAAGGGGGGAGCATCATGGAGGCTGGCTACCACAGCCACCTTTTACCTATAGTAGGATTTACATAATATTTTCCACTTTTTCCTAAACTTAGCTTTATCCTAAACAACATATCTGTTCAATCACAAGATTCATGCTCTAATGATGTTTTCCAGTAAAATGAATATAAACATCAAGATATTAATTAATAAGCAAATTCACGTACCACCTACAGTCCCTTGCATGCTTCCAGTGGCACAAATACTGCACTTGGGGACACCATGGCCTGTCATGGCGTCCTGGCAGTTTGGGTCACACATCCCAGCTCTTCCCAGCTCTGCTCGTGGATGCCGAGCATCTGCGGGATGCTGACCTGCCGTCTGCTATCTTCCAGGACCGCCTGTATTTCGTGATGGAGTACGTGAATGGCGGGGACCTCATGTATCACATCCAACAGGTCGGCCGCTTCAAGGAGCCTCACGCTGTGTAAGTGACCACATGTGCCATGCTCTCCCCTTGGGAGACACGGGCAGGGGGAGGGGAGTGCTCAGTCCCTTTGGATTAGTGGCTGAATAGGGAGTTTAGATCTGGGCTCACGTTCTCTGTCCTGCCGCTGTCCCCTTAGATGCCCTCGCTGCAGGGGATGGACGCCCCCACCAAGGTGCACGGTGGTTATGCGCTAGGGCTCCCGGGCTGGGAAACTGTGTCCAGGTCTCTGGAAACGTGTCTCCCGCTCTGTCCATCATCCCCCTCAGTCCACAGGGCAGCCATCTCTCCCTTTTAGGGCACAAATGTCCTTCTGTGTCTCCCCTGCTGTGGTGAGTCCTAGGATTAGCACCCATAAACTCACCTAGGGAGTCTGCCAAGATCTTACTGTCCCTCCAGCAGGCCCCCAGGGCTCGCCGAGGGCCCCACCCTGTAAATCCAGGCATTTGCCGGCTCCTAGCCCCTGTCCTCCCGTCTGCCAGGGGGTGAGCCCTGCATTCCACTTGGGTTTACATTCTCTGCTTCCAAATCTTGGCATTTGTCTATCTTGGCACAATTCTAATGGGACCATGGGGTTGTCTCTTTTTTACTTCCGACAGCTAATGGCCCTCAGGCCTTAGTCCCGTTGTCACACATGACATGCACTGTTATGACTCTTGCCGGAGTGACCTCGTGGTGTAACTGGGCTTCCGGCTTCTCTCAAAACCCCTTTCGTCCCCCCAACACTTCGCTCTACAAGACGCCTGGCTGGGTGTCCCTGGTGGGACCATCATGCATTGATGTCCTACCCTCAGTTCACCAGTGTATTGAATCCTCAGAACTCGCAAGCATATGGCGTCCTTGACTTTCTCCCTCACTTTTTTTTTAATTTCAGGTTTTACGCTGCAGAAATTGCCATCGGGCTGTTCTTCCTGCAAAGCAAGGGCATCATTTACCGGTACGTGGACACGGCGGTAGTTCCTTTTTCATCTCGGCGCCTCCGCTACTCCCTTCCCTGCCTCTTTCTGTAGCCGCTTTTTAAATTAGACTCCACAGTGGGGGAGGAGCCTCCAGTGCTAATGTGGGCATGTGTGCTGCCAGGCCCACATGTCGCCCGCCGCCCTGGCAGAGTTTGGGCAGCTCTGCGTGGTGCGGGCAGATCTCAGTGGGCTCTGCCCCCAGTCCCAGCTCCGAGCCTCGGGCATGAGACCGTTTGCTTTCAGAGGAGAAGGCTCCTCGGCGGGGCTCAGCATGCCTGTCTCTGGCCCGTAGGCCCCACGTTTGGGTTTGGGGAGCAAGCAAGCGTCTCAGCTGGCAGGATGTGACAGATCATATTATTATGAAACAAATCGTGTTGTTTGGCTGTGTAAGTGCAATTTAGAAATGGATCCCTGAGTAGCTTGCCCTGAACAAGGCAGGATTAAGTTCAGGGTTGGCATTTGCCCGTGTTTGGAGGAACCAGTGTGTCATCACAGCTGTATGAGTCATACATTTTATATTCCGTGCAGAGCAGACTGTTGGGCTCGAGGCTTCTAGTTGTCAGGGAGTCCATGGTGTACAATTCTCCTTCCCCCACATGGGTGAAAATGGCACGGACCATGCCGTCTGGGGCTGGTTTGTTATGCAAGAGAAGCTGGTGGGGGCTTGGGGCTTCCAAAGGGTACCTGGCACGGGCGAGGGTCTGTTGAAAGGATCACGCTGAGCCATAAAAGTCTGTTTGATTCATTCATCTGACAAGCACTTATCGAAAGCCTGCTATGTGCGAGGCTGTCTTCTAGGTGGTGGGAATCGAGCTGAGGGGGAAATAGACAGGTTATCTGCCTTTGTAGGTGTGTATTCTAGCAGTGGGAGGCAGATACGGAAATCTTACAGATACAGTCTGTCAAGTGGTGGTCAGTGCTTTGGAGAGAAACCGAGCAGGGAAGAGGGCTGCTGCGTGGTGGGGGCGGGGATTGCCTATCATTCTGCAGAGGGCATAGCATCAGTGTCCGAAAAGCTAGGGTCACCTTGGGGGTCCCGGGCCTCTCAAAGCAACTCAAGGGTGTGGGGCTGAAAGGCATATAGGGATCAACTCTGGGTCTCACGGCCGACGGGGCGGGAGTCTGTGGGTGCCGGTGGGGTGGAGGGGCAGAAGGTGGGGCTGGCCAGACCCTGCAGAGTCCTGGGGCTTTTTTTTTTTTCACTCCTTGAAGTGGTGACGTGAAATCTAATCGGGGAGGGACAGTCTTATCCTGAATACACAGCCCCCATGCCCTTTTTTCTCCTGATAATGGGAAGGTGAAGGCAGGGTGATGCGGCACAGGGATGATCCTGAGGGGGATGTGGGAACAGAGAGCGTAATAACAATGTAAACATAACGGTGTGGTCATTTTGCCCGTGCTTGCCCACAATGACCCCGTATCACCAAGTGACGTGAGACGGGACCTGTGAAGCCCCCAGCTGCCTCAGTTTCCCCTTTGTCACGAGGGGAGCACCTTGTTGTGTAGAGCGTGATTCTGGTGGGGACAGGGACACATTGTCTTCTGTGTGACAGGACCCCTCCGCTCCCACCACTGACGCCCCTGGTGCCTGACCAGAGGCACGGGGATTATGGGTAATGGTTCACTCTGTGTGATTTTTCACCGTCTGTGTGGACCTGAGAAGTCACGTCCTGTATGGGACAGGCCTCCATGAGCATAGAGTCCGCCGCTCAGGTTGCTGAGATGACACATACAACTGCAAGTCTGTTGGGAGAAATTCTAGCCTCCGCGAAGGGACCAGGAGAGGAAACAGCCCTCACCCCTTGGGCTGGGGTGTGGGGCGGTTTCCAGCCCAGCAGGGAATGGGGTCCAGGGCGTGGGCCCTTCAGGCTGTAAAAACCCAAAGGTTAGCATTTCAGACGCTAAGAGCGGGCTCCAAAGCGCCTTCTCTGAACTCCGCATTCCTCCATTCGTTCTCCACTTGTCATGTGGTTGTTTTCGGGGATATGTATCACTTGTTTAAGCCACTCAGCATCTGAACCCCTTTCATCTGTGGGTAGGAACAGAGTCCATCTCCTAGTGTACAGACTGAAGAGGCCAGATACAGGCACAGCTTCCCTGTGGCAAGGGCAGGCACACAACCCAGGCTCTGACAGTCGTCACACTCACCCAAGACCTCACATCTGAACTTAGCGACCAAGGAAGCAGACTGTGGAATCCAGGCTGGCTCTAGCAGTGAGATCCATCGATTTCCCAGACACGGGAGGGGAGGCGGTTCTTAACAGCAACACCCAGAGTCCAGCGCAGGGCTCCATGGGACGAGGTGGCGTCTCCCCTGGACCAGCTCTGTGTTGCAATTAGGTGTTATTTCTGGCTGCAGAGCCTCCACATCCGGTTCTCCACCTCCTTTGCGACTCTGTGAGTGCCCCATTGCCTTTTTAAAATTCCTTTTTATGTTGAAATCACCCGAGTTGGTTTTTGTTGCTTGCCGTAAAGACCCTCCATTGACACAAGAGTTTTTGAAATTGATAATCCAGTGAAAACTGTAAAAAAAAAAAAATTACATGACAGAAGACGTGTGGCTTTTTAATTCCATCGAGGTTGCCTTCATGATGGTAACGTCTTTTAAAACATTACACGCCCCTTCCTCCTTCATTTGCGGACAAGTTCTTAAGGAAAGAGGAGGGAGAGGAAGTATGTCCGACTCGCCCTCTCTGAGGACCACGGCTGGGGATACTGGGTGGGGGGGCAGAGAAGACCCTTCATGCCAAACGTAGTGTCTGATTTATGGCTGGCCATCTCTAGAATGTGTGTTCATTTTACTCTTGATGAATTTCTGAAAATGAAAACAATTGCCGCAGCCCCCTTTTGAAGCATAAATGAGCATAAATCAAACAAAAGAATACAGTGGCTATGAGTGGGGTGTTCTCAACCCCCAATGCCTGCTGGCTCTTGACACTGGAAGCTGCTTTTCTGTAACACGTGCAGAGTTTGTCACTTCCCTAGTTGCCCCAGCACTTGGTTGGGAGCATGTGGTCAAGCCGAGGGGAATGTCATGTGTCCCTGTTAATCAAATCACATGTAGACCTGGTGTGTTTAGGTGAAGCAAGTTGCCACAAAGTCCAGTTTTTCTGAATTCCAAGCTGGCATTCAGAGACCCCCATGGCTTGAGGGCTGGATGTGGGTAGCACCACAGACAGCATCAAAGATGGTGGATTGTTGCAGTTGGGTGCAAGGGAACCTCCCTTTGGAAGGCGAGACCCCCACAGACACAGATAGGAGATGACAGGATGCATTTTCAGGGTGTATCCTCTTAGCTGAAAAAGATGACAGCAACTTAACTCAAGCTAACTTACGTTAAAACAGGCATTTGGAGGCTGCCGTAACTGAGAAGTCCAGGGGACAGATCTGACTTCAGGCCTGAATAGGTCAAATGATGTTACCAGCGTTCACTTTATCACCTGCCCTGCAGGCTTAGCTTTCTTCTCTCCATCTGGTGACCTGTGGCACTTCAAGACTTACGTTCTGCCACCTGAGCCATCCCAATGTAAAAGGAACTCATGTCTTTCCTGATGGGACCAGCAAGAGTGCCAGGACTGATGCTCGATGGCTTTGATGAGCTCCTATTGGGTCTCATGGCCATTCCTGAAACAAACACTACGAGTAGCAGGATGGAATGTTTCCACTGACCAGCACAGGCTACCTGTCCACCACCAACCTGACATGGCTTGAGAATCAGGGGAGGATGTTTCTTCAAAGGAATATTAGGATGCCCTCATCCCACGATGCTCAAATAGGCAGAAACCACAGGTGTCCATACCTAATGAGAATGATTAAGGGTAGAGATCTGAAATGAACGGTAGGTCCCTTTACGCCTCAGGAAGCTGAGCTTCTATTGGGGTTGAGGGAGCCTGGCCCATAGGTCTTTCTTACCAATTGGCACTGAAATACCCAAGTGTTGACTTGAAGAAAGTATTTAGGGAGGAGGAAAGTGTATTGATATTGGAGACCTCCTTGATGCTGGGAATGTGCAAGGGATCCCCAAAATACCAATCTCTCCTCTTTAGCACAGAGGAAATAAAAGAATGAGAGTGTAGCACATGTCCTTTAGGTTAAAGCTCAAATGTCACCTTCTTAAAGAGGTTCTTTGTGACACCTGTTTGAAGTGACCTCCCCCAGTTCCTATCTATCTCATTTTCCTCTTTGTTTTCTTTTTTTTTTTTTTAGCTGAGCCATCCTGCCACCTGTTGGCAGCTCAGTGGCAGCTCAGCTCAGGCTGGGAATCGAACCGCTATTGCTCAGAGCTCAAACTCTTGAGCGAGCTCTTAACCAGCTGAGCCACTTGGCCGGCCCGCCCGTTGTTTTCTTCCTACCATCCATCAAAACCTGTAAGGATCATGCCTATAGATCTGGATACTTGCTGTCGTTCTCCCTATGGTGGAATTTAATGTGAACAAGAGCAGGATGCTTGTTTATCTTGTCTGCGGCACATGCCCAGCTCCAAGCACAGTGCCTGTCACATAGAAGGTGTGCAACAAATTTTTTTGACTGAAAGAATTCATGGAAACTGCTGGTCATGTCCTAGGAACTGGCCTAGGAGAGCTTGGGGAACACTTAGACTTTAAATAAAGTTCTCTCAACCAGTTTTTTTCCTCCATAACTCTCAAAGATGTAAAAAAAATTAATAATTTCATGAAAAATATATCTGCCTATGAAATATAAGGGGTCCTTAAGTTCTGCATATCAATTTGTGATGTGGTCCTGGATCCAAACAGCCTCTCTGGGCACTCTGCCCTTCGCTTGGCTTTCTTTGGGTGTCTCTTCCCAGAGCTGGTGTCTCCTTGTGCCCTGGTGAGACACTTGGCACTACTGGCTTTGTAGAAAACCACAGGGATTTGCGGACTCTTCTTGATCTCCTTGCCAGATCATAAGCTGTTGGAAGGCGAGGGCTGGGTGAGACCTTTGTGCCCCCACAGCACTTTGCGCCCTGTTTCGCACATAAATGAGCTGCGGTTGGTCGACTTGAAATATGTGGCTTTTAATTAAGTCCCGTCATTCTTATGTCCACCACAGGGACCTAAAACTTGACAACGTGATGCTGGATTCTGAGGGCCACATCAAGATCGCTGACTTCGGCATGTGTAAGGAAAATATTGGGGACGGCGTCACGACGAAGACCTTCTGCGGCACCCCAGACTACATCGCCCCAGAGGTGAGAGCTGGCGGGACCCCAATGTCCACGTTGTGTTGATGCCCCCCTCTGCCCCCTAAATGGCCGTGGCAGAGCTGGATAGGGTCCAGGGAGATACCCGGCAAGCAGATCTCAGGCCGGCCCTTCTCCTCTGTTCTAGAGCCTTCCTTTATGATCACACATGCTAATTAGCTTAGCACGCAGCCAGAAGCTCGGGCCCAAAATACATCAAGGTTTGGGAGAAATTTTAAATAAAACTCAAAAGCACCATCCACCACACATCAGTAAAATCCTTCGTCAAGCTCACGGCCATATGATCCTTCCTAATTATGACATTGAAATGTTTATTAAGAGGCGGGGAGGAGAGAAAGAGAGATCCCTGGGGCTGACATAGGCTGGCATAGGACACGGGATCTGTATCCTAACAGGTGCATGGTAGTCATGCCGAACCCTGGAAGACGCAGAGTTCTTGTGACGCAGAAGGAAATGAAAGGGCAAAGAGTTCATTCTGGCCCTTCCCTTCCCAAAGGAAGTGGTCAGATGCAGAGTCGGTTTCCCCAACACGTCATGGTACAAAAATTTGTGCCAAAAGAGAGCTTTCCTTTCTCTCGGAGTTGGTGCCCAGAAAGGTTACTTCCTGTGTAATCTGTTCCTAGGCTTTTTAAGGAACTGAGGGTGCTGCAGAGTCTTGGAAATAGACATTCTGTAATTCCTCTCATCTTGACTGTTCATTGCTGGATATGTAACAATGGCGACGGAACCCTGTAACCCAGTCACGTGGCACAAAATTTCAAACCTGCCGTCTCTTATCAAAGCAGTTCTTCTTCTAGGACCTGGTGTCACACACACATGCACGCACGCACACACACGCACGCGCACACACACACATGCACGGTGGAAGGCTATGTGTTCAAAGTCCTTTCTTCCTGGCAGCACTGTTTTTAAATCATGAACACAAGGAGGCAACCTCAGTGACTATAACTAAAGGAACCATTAGCTACGGCATGCTACGTGGATGTTGGGAAATGCTATAATAATACATAGCCTCACGAAGGGTAGTACATCTGTGTGCATGCACCTGAGCAAAGGCCGTCGGTTGGGGACTGGCCAATACACTGCATTATTCATAGCATGGAGTACTGCTAGGCACTGATTCAAAAGAGTGAGTTCGATATGTGTACATAGAGAGAGATGGAAAGATGTCTGAGGCATATCGCTAAGAGAATAAAACCACGTTAGAGACTGACAAATGCAATATGAGTCCATCTGCAGACAATAAAACAACACACCGAGCACTGCAGTATCTTTCCCTGTGAGTGTGTGTCTCGGTGTGTAAGAGTGTAGAAAATGTGCGATGACAGATTTTAGGACGCTGGCTCTCCCGCAGGCCAAAGGCATGCGAACAGGGAATGTAGTCGAATCTATTTAACGTGTTCACAATGTAGATGTGAATTAACCCTTTCTGGGAGTTTTCCCGATGGAGCATACCTCGGTATATCATCATTTTGTCGATGAGTTAGGACCTCAGACGCAAGTCCTTGACTTGCCGTGAGTTCAGGGACCTCTGGTTCTCAACTCGCACTGCCCACGCGGCATCCTACACGGACCCAGTCAGCATCTCCGCAGGGTGGGGACCCGAGCTGTATTCCCAGCGGAGCCGCCCACCCTCCAGCCCAGGATGGAATTGGTTGCAGGTTCCGTCGTTCATCCTGGCTCTGCCCGGGTCATCCTGGCTCTGCCCGTCACTAACTGCATCCCCGCCCCCGGCAACTTCTTTCCCTTCCCCAGGCTCCAGTTTCCTTTGTAAACGGATTAAGTTGTTAGCTTGTCATGAGGATCAAATAAGACATGAAGTACTTTAAAAGTGTGAAAATACTTTCGATGAGAAGTGTTGTCACAGAAAGCTTTCCCTCCGGGCCTCTGGCAGTTAATTCTTCTCAGAGAGCATTTCTGATCGTTTGATAGATGCACCCAACTTGGGAGGCACATTTACTGAGCCAAACCAGCCATCACTGAACTGGAGAACTTTCTAGTCACAGCAGACATCCTGAGGGCACAGCAGGGGAGAGGCACATATATCTCTCCCGTCCTCACAAAACCCTGTGACGTAGATGTTATGATCAACTTCGTGGGGTGGGTTAGGAAATGGACACTTGCAGAAGTCACGTGACCTCTCCCAAGGTCACACGTGGGGCAACAGCAGTCAGGATCCCCAGTCTGGACTGTTGCCCCTCGAACCCTGGCCTTTCACCTTTGCCCTGTCACCTCCTAACCCCTCGATAGTTAGTTTTACACCCTACATCCTTCAGGGTGGTCACAGCTACCTGAGACTCTGCCGTGCCCCAACAATTTGGTAATAAGGATAAAAAACCTGAACACTATACATACCATTCGACCCACCAACTCTACTTCTAGGATTTATCCTAAGAAAATAATTGGATAAACATCCAAACATCTAATTACAAGGACCTGGACTGTAACATCAGGAGAAACCTAATCAGTTAGGAATTGACAAAATAGATGTTGGTAGAATGCTGGGCAGAGGCAACCACTGATTATGCTGGTGTACCAATATTAGCACGGAAATTTTAAGTGACTGAAATACTTTATTAAAATTCCACCTGTCAAGTGTTTCTGTAAACCACATATAGACACACAGAGTTCCATGTGTATTAATAGAAAAGAATTGTGGAAAGAAATGGACCAAATATCGATCATAATTTTTCTCTTGATAAACAAGGCATTATGGGTGGTTTTCATTGTATATTCTCTGAGCTCATCTAAGGTTTTTGAACAGTAAAAATTACATTTTTTACTTAAAAATTACATTTTTTTAACTTAAAAAAATTTAACTTTGGTAAATGAAAGCGTATGAAATGGATCATCGTAACCATTGCTAAGTGTACAGTTCATCAGCGTTAAGTACCTCTGACCTGTTGTGTAAATGGTCTCACCTTTGTATGAGAATTAGACAGTTTTTCCTCTTAAAAAGGCCACACTCGCTGTTGCAATTAAAAATAACATACCAGGGGCCAGCCGAGTGGCACGTTGGTTAGGAGTTGGCTTGGGATGCCAGCTCTGAGCAGCAGGGCCCTGGTTCAGATCCCACATGAGGGCCAGTGACGCTGTGCCCTCTACAGCTAAGATGGTGAACAACAGCTCGACCTGGAGCTGGACTGCCGTGAGTCGCTGGCAACAGCGTAGGCTGCAGTGGGGCTGGCTGCAGCTGGCGTGCGCTTTCGTGAGCTACCGTGAGTGGCCGTCCAATGGCCGGCGACTGATCTGTCTCACCTGGGAAGAGCGCAATGATAATACCAACTTGGGCCAGTGCAGTGCAGTCCTTCACAACTAGACTGAAGAACAAAAGGACAGCAACTTGTCTGTTCCCCTTCCCTGATTCTCCAACGCTCTTCCCCACCCCCGCCAATTCCCCAATAAAATCTTTAATATATATATAAAACACACCACACTAAGCGCTTCAGAAAAGCAACGTGACATCCACAGATGGTCCCTCCCGCAGGTACCTCTGTAAAGGTTACCCATCTCCGGAAGGTAAAGAAAGAACGCAGATGGACACTGGGCTTCCTGTCCACTCCTTTAGACAGTGGCCAGCGTCTGGGCCTGTGACAGCCAGTTTAACCTCTCACCACAGGCAGGTGACAGGCAGACCCCTCCAGCCCTGCCCCCAGTGATGGTCCCCTGTCATTGTCACGGAGGGGTGTGTTCAGGACCCTGCCCACCTCCCTGATGGAATGCCTCTTTTTTCTAGATAATTGCTTATCAGCCGTATGGAAAGTCAGTGGATTGGTGGGCGTTCGGGGTCCTGCTCTATGAAATGCTGGCTGGGCAGGTAAGTGAATCTTAAGTGATTTGTGAGAACAGCCTTCCCCCAGCTCCATCTGGGTGCTTTCTTTAGAAGCAAGTCTCAGCTGGATACCAGCTTGTGAATCTGAACCTCTCTGACTTCCACGGCCTTGGGGGTTTCCCGCTGGAAGCCGTGGAATGTGGCCTGCCTGTGGGCCCCAGGGAGGAGGGCCTGCTGGTGGGGGCAGCCGGGGCTTTTCCGGCAGGAGCCCTCCTCCCACCCTGTCCTCCATCCCACAGGCGCCCTTTGAAGGGGAGGACGAGGACGAGCTCTTCCAGTCTATCATGGAGCACAACGTGGCTTATCCAAAGTCGATGTCCAAGGAAGCCGTGGCCATCTGCAAAGGGGTGAGTGAGCCCCTTAGAGCTCGCGGCCAGGACCCCACATACAAGGAGGTCCCACCCCGGGAGGGAGGCGGAGCAGACACTGAGCTCCGCCCCTCACCCCACTTGGCAACCCCCAGCCCTGGCTGGGACCTGCTTTCTCCCAGAAGGAAGGCCGCTGGCACAAAAGCGCCCTGGAGACCTGCTCGCAGCAGTGTCCTAAGGCTGGTGCCCCCTCTAGAGAGGGCGTGCCCGCTCCGATTCGCAGAAACCCCCATCTGGCCCGTTCCCTCTGGGCTGCAGTCCTGACCGGGGTGTCATCAGCCCTGCGACTGCAAGGGAGTTGTCTGAGTGGAGTTGTCTAGAGGGGGGATAACGACAGGCGTGTGCGTGAGGTCCTGGGTGATCAGAGGGGTCCGTACCTGTGAACCACTGAGAACAGAGACCCCTGCTCGGCTGCAAAGCTGCTGGGCTCTGGTCATGACTGTCACGGATGCACTGCCGTTATATGCCCGGCTCCTCTTGGCATTTGAGTCTGCATCCCCCCACGATGGGAAGTTTCCACGTGGGGGTTTCGGGAGCTCCAGAGAGCGTTTGCAAACCTCGGCCCCTTTACTTCCTTGGAGCGCGGGCTTGAGCAAGTTACTTTGCATTCTTAGGCTTTTGTTTCTTCATTTTCTCCCTTTTTCCTTTTTTTAATTTAATAGTTGACATTCAATATTATTTTAATATTAGTTTCAGATGCACAGCATCGTGGTTAGACATTTCTCTGATGTCTAGAACCCACCTGGCGCCATACGTAGTTATTACCATATTATTGACTCTGCGGCTTTTGTTTCTTTAGCTCTAAAAATGGAATAATGATAGTCATTGAGCAGAGTTTTTGAGAGCGTTAAATGAGGTAGCAGTAAGAGAAAGCTCCTTGCGCGGAGTTGGCACACAGTGGGTGCTTAGCACACGCTCAGGACCAGCCCCTACACAACCCCACGGGGCCTGCACAGCTGGGGGTTCGAAGTGGGTCACGGAGGAGAGAGTTTTTCAGGTCAGCCGCGTTCAGCTTCCGCCCCAGTTAGCAGTTTCCGTGAGAGCACACTGCTTTTCATATAGGACCCGTCCCTTTAGGGTTAACTGGGGTGACTTTCTGGCTCCTGGGTTTGGGGACCTTTCTGAGTTGAGTGTGCTGAGTCCAGTGTGGGCTGTTTCTTCAAGGCTGAGCCTCCAAAGAACGGTGACGCTCAAGCGAGCAGCCCAACGCTTCCTCCTGCACAGCGGGCCCCAGGGGATGCGTTGGGGAGGTGATCAGAGATGGGAACACTGATTAGATCCAGCTGTCTGCATAGCTTCAGGCACATCAGGCAGAGCCGAGCTGGGCAGAAACAGTGCCTTTTCTTCCATGGAGTCCTCCTGATCCCGTGGAAATTGCCCGAGGCTTTGGAAAAATTCCCATTCCAACTGAAAACGCCCTTTCTGTGCCCAGCCCGGTAAAGACCCTATTGTCTACCCCCCACCCCCCAAAAACATCAGTATATCTTTGTTCACATTGGCACTCCTACTCTGAACGAGTTCAAAGCAGAGAGAAGCTCACGCTGGCCGCACGTCAGCGTGAAAACAAGAGGACCTGCAGAAGTCTGGGGTCAGGCAGATCTGTCCCAGGCACAGCTCTGCTCCTTGGCTGTGTGCCTGGGCACAAATGACTATATGACTTTCTCTGCGAGATGAGGGCAATAGTTGCTGAGACCTTGGGGCATTGTGAGAGTGGCGGGGGAGTGGACTGGGAAGGCTTTGACGCAGAGCCCGTGGGACGTGCTCAGGGCAGGGAAGCCATTGGTGACGTGATAGTCATAGCGGCATCAGTTAGAAGCTAGGATGCCACAGCCCTTTCTTCCCCGCATCGTAATCCTACACAAATGTCAAGGCCTGGCTCCCTCCATTAACCTTTCCCAGCCAACCCAAGCCACAAATACCTCGGAGGGAACACACGCCAAGAGCGTTCCCAGTGCTCTTCAAAGCCCAGGGAGCTAGAGGCGGGATCCAGTCCCAGCGGGGCCACTTCCTAACCCCTGAGGCACAGTGTCAACTGCCCAGTCCTTCAAATGGGAAAAAGAATCTACCCAACTCATTGGGTTATTGTGGAAATCAGGCAAGATCGTGCCTGTGAATAAAAAAAGTAGCTTAGGGGGCGGCCGGTTTGCTCAGGTGGTTAGAGCGCAGTGCTGATAACACCAAGGTTGCCAGGTCGATTCCCACATGGACCAAGGAGCTGCACCCTCCACAACTAGATTGAAAACAGCTACTCAACTTGGAGCTGATGGGTCCTGGAAAAACACACTGTTCCCTAATTTTAAAAAAATATGCATATATGTGTGTGTATATATATATATATATATATACACACACACACACACACACACACATATATATATATATATATATATATATATATATATATATATTAGCTTAGAACCTAAGGGCCGAGTATTTAACTCCTGGAAGAGAAAGCACATATGGAGAGGCTGTGCTCATGTATGTGTGTATGGGGGGTGAGGGGTTTCTGATGACCAGTGACCTGGTAAGCAGGAACCAGGCTGAGATGAATGTCCCACAGAGCAGGTGTGCCTAACTGGGCTCCTCCCTGCCCCGTAAGCCACAAATCTTGGGCAAAAATCTAAGGATTCTGACGTCGTGGGCTACTTGTCTGGGAAAGTCCTCGGACTTGTATGTCCCGATCGCTTTTGTTTCCTCTTGTGATGCCCTTGTGTCGGCTTTTTTTTTTTTTTTTTTTTAAGAAGGGGAACATTGTGTTTTTTATCCAGGGCCCATCAGCTCCAAGTCAGGTTGTTGCCCTTCAATCTTAGTTGTGGAGGGCGCAGCTCAGCTCCAAGTCCAGTCGCCGCTTTCAATCTAGTTGTGGGGGCTGGGCAGCCCACCATCCCATGTGGGAGTCGAACTGGCAACCATTTTTTTTTTTTTTCAAAATCACCAATTCTTCCTGCTTCATTCTGTGCATTTGCGGAAGTCTTGAGACGGAGATATTTTCAAAGCACTTTAGATTCATTTGCGAGAGGAAGTCTGTCTGGCTTCATCGTGGAGCTTCTATTCATACTGTTAGTCGGCAGAGACTCCGAGACCCAGCGATGGAGGGCTTTGATAATTAAGTAATTTAAACTGAACACCAAAGAAACCTCAGTGGAGCAGAGGATCATGTGTGATACAAGGGAAATGAGCTGGGCTTGGGTTTGAGCTATTTAATGAGCTTTCAGAAAGTAATTACTTGAAACTTGGGCCCATTTGACTAATATTTTTTCTTTCTGTTTTGTCATTTTCACAAGGGCTTTACTGAGAAATGCAAATATTACCTGAACTCCTGTGGTCTTGGCCTTGATCAAACTCGGGTTTCCTTGTGGCAGTGGGGGGGAGCGGGGGAGAATTTGAAGATGTTGACACCGTTCTCGTTAAACGTGTCTGTCGTTGCACAAAACTCATTCTTCAGCTAAAAGGCCTCGTGCGCCATTCCTAACTCGAAGTTCGGGGCCCCATTCAGCCTTAGGTTTGATTAACCATGGATGACCTCGCTCTGGGCCCCATGGCAGCAGGCACTATGATGGGGTCCTCCTGCTACACAGGCCTGGCCGGGAAGTTATTGCTGGGAAGGAAAAGCAAAAAAATAGTAATTCATTGGGGCTCTTCCGTGTGCTTTGTTCCCTAACTCACTGGAGGAATTGTTGCTGCGTGCCTCCTGCAGCCCGTTCCGAAGTTCATTAAATGCAACTTTTCTCTCTCTGTCTCTCCCCAAGCTGATGACCAAACACCCCGGCAAGCGCCTGGGCTGTGGCCCCGAGGGCGAACGAGACGTGAAGGAGCACGCGTTCTTCCGGTATATCGATTGGGAGAAACTCGAGCGCAAAGAGATTCAGCCGCCATATAAGCCAAAAGCTGTAAGTAACCTGTCCCCTGACCACCGGCCACACCCACGCACCCCACCGGGTTCCCTTCCTGGGCAGCGGTGCAGCTCACTGCTCTCAGAGGCGGTCCCTTCAGGATCTCACCTGTCGGCACAAAGTCACCGGGCACAGCGATAGAGGTTTCCATCCACGCAGCCTGGCCTCTGGAAAGGCAGGAGTGGCGATGGATGCCGAGTTCTTCTGTTTTATTGATTCAATTATTGTCACTGTCTTCGCTGGCAACTTTTGGGGAATGGTCCTCCGGTGAGCCGTGTTCAGGTCTGTTTTCAGACTGTGACCAAGAATCTAATGTCATGCTTCCCTTGGTTCGACTGTGTTGTTTTCTCTTCATACTGACATTGAAAAGGTCATGTTGTGTATCTCAACAGTATTTAAATTCGATTCTGAAACATACACTACGTTCTGAGTCAATGAAGACGGCACTCCCAGCCGGCTCCCCCGAGATGCGAAAGGCAGGCAGGAGCCACGCGCTCACAGGCCTCCGGGACGTGTGGGTGCAGCGATGGCTTTGCTCTAACATTCATGTTGTAGAAGTCTTGCGTTCCCACCGTCGTGCGCCCGAGGGAGGGAGCCCCGACACTCAGCAGGGAGTACTTGTCAGCCCCCAGTGAGTCAGAACTGCGATTCTGCTGTGAGGATATTTCTTTGTTAGAGTAAGTGGAGCAGAGACCTGGTGACTTTATGATGGGTTGTAAAACTGCCGATGGAGACTGAAAGTTGAGCGTCAGTATCGTCATCGACCCCTGAAGTTGTAAGGGTCTCGGATGTTAGGATGAAGAAAATGACCATGATATAATGGTAGTTATTTCAGATTAATTTCTTGGCCGCTCATTTTGCACCAGGCACTATATTAACTCCTTCACATGCAGCATCTAATTAAATCCTAATGACGACCTACGATGCTGTTATGCCTTGTAATGGGAGAGGTTTAGCGCTGTGTCCCAGGTCCCTCAGCCAGTGTGTGATGGAACCAGGATTCACGTTTCACGTGGTCTGACTCTCTGAGAGGCACACCCCGGAATGCCCAAGGGCAACAGGCAGGTAGAAAGCCTCCTGGTGATTCTCACAACTCCCCAGACCTGCACACCCCAAAGAATTAGAACACAACATCCCTGGGGGTCCTGTTTCTCTCTGGACACGTCCTGGTGTTAGGAAGCCAGGTCCCTTTGAGGCAGCCAGCTCTGGCCCTTCTAACTATTGCAGACTTACAGAGTGATGTCAGATCAGCGTCCCCAGGATTGCCACCCTGGGTCCTGTTCTGTCGTCCCTCAGACAACTGGCAGGTGCTGCTGTTCTCCCGCCTCCTGCAATTTCCAAGCTACCCCATCCCCCACCCCCCACACACACCTGGGAGCATGTCCTGTGTGCCATCGCCTCCGGGGGCCTCTTTTCCTCCAGGTCATCAACATCTATCTTAAAATCCAGACACAGGGTTGAGCCCAATAGCCCCTCGGAACACAGTGGGTCCAACGAGCAATCTCTTCATTTTCTGGAGCTGGGGGACCTGGACAGGTCAGAGTCAGTTCCCCTTGCCTCTGGTTCATCATCTGTAACCCAGTGATGGTAGCGGTTTCTCCATCCAAGGGCCGTGCTATGCGGAAAGCACTCAGCAGTACCTGGTACATAGTCGGCACGCCGGGAGAGTTGATAAGGATTTGCGGTGTCACGTGGGCCACTGTCTGGGGTGCAGCGTCTTTGAGGGGTGGTGTCAATCCTGCTGAAGCCATTCCTTACGGTCATGTCCATGTGCTCACTCAGGGCTGGGTGGGGTCTGCTTGGCAGACACAGCATCATGACGTTCATGGAACCATTTGGGAAAAGGGCAGACAGTGGTCTGAAAGAGAAGAACGGGTTGTCCATTCAGGAAACTGGGCACTTGGAGGCGGGACACACACTCGTTTGTGTTCTGTGGACTGTTCACGAGGTCTCCAAACACAGACCCCGCCTCGCCTTACTCGGCCAGCGGACATCCCCACCCGCACTGAACCCAGTGACATTTGGGGTTCATGCTGTAGTTGTAGAGCAGTGGTTTTCAACGTGTGGTCCCCTGACCAGCAGTGTCAGCATCACATGGGAACGCCAGAAACTCGGAGGGGGGCCCTCCAGGGGACTCTGATGCCCCCCACCCCTGCTCTAGACTCAGAAATGCCCTCTGCAAGCCAGCCCCGGGCTAGCCAGCTCTACCTTGTGGGCACGCAGACACTGCCCTGCCCCGTCCACATCAGGATTTTTATGTGAAATCTCACTAGTTTTTGATATATTGGCCACAAACTTGTAAACGCAATTCAGACCAAATAAAAACACATCCACGAGCCATCGGTGGCCGTGGATTGTCAGTTTGTAGCCTCCGGGGTCATGAGGACTTAAAGTCGCATTGACATTTTGCCAGTTGCCGTGAGTTCTGGTCCTTGACAACCCCGTGACGGGTCAGATATTTCGAATGTCCTTGCTAAGCGATAATGACCATGAACAGCCTCGCCCAGTGCCTGGGCTCCCTGGAGGCGCTTTGGGAAAGGCAGCTTTCTTCCCGTGGAAAACATAAATACATTACAGTCGTTAGCAGTGGTCAGCAGGATCCTTCAACTGGGGTGCGTTTCATGTGCTGTCTGAGGCGGAGTTCCAGGCGTCTGCTGGGCATTAAAAGGCACGCGTGTGTCTGCTGTGTCCTGATCCACGCAGGCCATTAAATGGAGAAGCACAGCAGTGACAGAGGGCTTTATTCAGATGTCCGCAGAGGGTGCTATTAGAGCAGGTTCATTAAAATAATTCCAAGTGGGGTTTGAAAGTTGTCCTTGGTGCCATCTTTTGTGGTGCAAGGAGCTGCGTGCTGACGTTCGGAAGTGCTGGCGCCCACTCGCTCCGGTGTGCTGTTTCTGGGTACCGTGGACATTATTTGTTTAATGTGCACTTGATTATGTCACTCTCTTGCTCTCAGTCCCCTCCCACACCCACCCCCACATGGCTTGCTGCTGCCCCCAGAATAATGCCTATTGCTCTTTAGCATACATGGCTTTGGGGGGTTTCCAAGGTCCAGCCCCTGCCCCTGCCCCGATTTCGGCTCATGCCGAGAACCAGCATTTCTGAGCTTTCAGTTCCTCACACGTGGGGGACCTTCTCTCTCCTTCCGGGCTGAGCCATCCCCTTCCTCGCCCACCCCCCACCCCTCCTGGTGCCCCGCTCCCCCGCTCTCATCAGACCAGCAGACCGTCACCCGCTCAAAGAGGCTCTTGTTCCCAAGTAGGGACCGTGGGCAAGGGTCCTATCAACAGACTCATCAGATTTTGTCATGACTTCGTGTTCAGCATCAGGTCTGTCTTTCTGACGAGACGAAAGGGTTGTGGCTGTCCTGTTCCCCGCTGAACCCCAGTGCTTAGCCTAAGGCTCAGCCATAACAGGTGCTTTCTCGCTTTGCTGAATGAATGAATGAATGGATGGATGGATGGCTCTAACACAGGATACCGCACTGCCCTGTACTGAGGACACAAGGGGCCCTGGGATCTATGTCAGCGCTCCGGTGTTTTCTCACGCTCGGCAGGTGCCCCAGATGAACTGCCTGTTGTGGAAGGTGCCACCTTGTTTGTGCAGGGCTGTCACTGGAAGTGCTTCTGGCGTGGTGTCGTGTGGCTGTGCGCCGTGGAGCTGGGGAAGGATCCGACCGCACAGTGCGTGGTTGTTGAGCTCTGGGTGGCGAGGGCTATCACTCCTTGCCTGTCACTGTCCAGGCCAGTGCCCGGACGCCAGGAGGCAGCCCGGCAGAGCTTCTTAAACTTCAAAGTGCACACTCTTGGGTGTCTGACTCCGCTGATCTGGGGACAGCCTGGGGTTCCGTGTGTCTCGCACATGCGCAGGGCATAGGATGCTGCTGGCCACAGGCCACGCTTTGTGTGGCAGGGACCGGAACGTGGTTCTCTGGGGTGCTACCGGCCCGTGTGTTGGGCAGCAGGGCCCGTTGTCGCCGGTGAGCCGTATAGCTCAGGGAGAGCTGCATGGGGGTACATTCGCTTCAGCACCGACTTGAGTGCTGGTAATTGTGTCCGGGGTGCACGGCAGGCTGCCGTGGGCCCGCGTGTGCTGGTAGGAGGGGCTCGTTCGTGTGCTGGGGGGTCAGAGAGCGTGGCTGGTGCGTGATGGGGCGGTGGGCGGAGCAGCAGTGTGCTCTGGCCCTGGAGGGTCGTTGCCAGGCGCTCCGGGTCCCCCATCGGGCAGGTGTTTAGTGACGTTCGGTGCTGTGCCAGGTGCTGGAGACGTGGCAGTGAACACACAGAATCCCTGCCCCCGTGGGCCTTCTTTTCAGGGGGGGGGTCAAATAAGAAACACGAAGGTCAAAGAATATGTTAGGAGTCGATAAGCGTATGGACGGGGCGCAGACAGTCTTAAAACAGGCTGGTCTGAAAGCCTCACCAAGCAAGTGACATTCCAGCCAAGACGGGGAGACGGTGAGGGTATGAGTGAGCCATGGGTGCTCCTGGGGGCGTGGGAGCCGCTCAGGAGGGGGCAGCAGGTGCAGAGGCCCGAGGCAGAAGTTCACCTGGCACGTCCCAGGGGCACCCAGTCCAGTGGCTGCGTGGAGTGGGCGAGGGAGTGAAAGGGTAAGAGGCCGGGGTGGCCACGGCGGGGCGGGTGGCGCCGGCCACTGACAGATCCCTGGCTGGTCCTGCAGCCAGGACGGGCAGCTGTCCGGGGCTGTGAGCAGAGGAATAGCTAGATCTGGCTGTGGGATTTTAGAGGCTCCCTCTGGCTTCCAGAGATGCAGGGGTGAAGCGGGAGCCCAGGCGGGAGGTGGTGGCACCGTGATGGGACACAGCAACTGGGTGGTGTTCGTGTCGACACCCCCAGACCCTGCCCCATTCCTGGCACCTCATTGGCACTCGGTACTCACCCCGTGGGGCCCGAGGGGCGGACGAAGAGAGCCCCTGCAGCCCCTGCATCATCGCCCCTCGAGTGTGATGCGAGTCGCCCCGTGTGGGTGCTGG